CCGGACCGTGTTACGTGTATTTTCAGTGCAGGTCTCACGAAGACCCAAGCTGGAGAGCGTGCTCCTCTGTGGCCACGTTACTTCGCCAAATGTGCTGTGAAAATGAATTCACATGCAGTCCTCTTGGTCCCTTCATTATTTTTTTTTTTCTGACTACCATTAGCAACACAAAAGTCTAGGAATTTCTGTGATTGCTCCTAGCGAGGTGCAGCCGTGATGGCGGAGGGGGATGAGCCCTGGCACAGCCTGTCCTCTGAACTGGCGCTAATGGGGCAGTAGGTCGCCTGCTAACTCATCCCCTAATTAGCACAGTGGTTCATTTGCCTCAGACCACTGCAAAATTACTGTGTTTGGCTGACGTGACTATGATATCATATGGCTGCAGTGTGACTAATGCTGTTATACGAAAAAAAGAAAATCCCTCACCTTGTTGAGCTTTGTGGACGCAGTGGGACTACCAGGTCTTACCTGCGCTTGTCAGGACAGTGAGAGTAGTTTGCAGGACGAAAAGAGGCAGATAATACAATGCGGGGTCCCTTCCTCCATGACCACCGGCTAGATGTACAGAGTACAGGGAAAGAAAAGGGCATGGGTTCAGAGTATGTTTATCTCACTCTAAAGGCAGGTTTTGAAAAATGCTGTTCTGCCTCACCAAGAGGACCCCTAGGAGGAATTTTTCCTCTGAGGCTCGCTGCCGCCTCTCGCTCCCTTGTGACTGCGCCTGGGTGTACAATCCAGCCCATAATAATGCTTATCCTTTGGGAGATATGAGGTAAAACGGAAAATTTCCCTGGCAGGGTTCAGCCAGTCAGAAAATGTTATGATTTAGAGAAACCGTACGAGGAGAGGGTGCAGTACCTTGGGGACCGGCTGACGTCGTGCCGCTGCGGTGGTCGGCGGTGGTCTCCCAGGAGCAGGGCTGCTGGCGGGGCAGGGCAGGCCGGCCTGCCTCCCGGCTGCGAATCCGGCACTTCCCCTGTCCTGGGGAGAAGTATCTCAAACCGGGGGCATTATAGAGCCCCGATCTGTGTGACGGAGGTTGAGAGTGTGCTTCCCATAAGGATGGCGTGGATAGGAGTCCCAGGAGATACAGAGCTGGCTGCCTGCCTTGAGGGAAGACAGCTTTACTGCTGCTGGGACTCTGTTTGCTACTAAATGATACCAGGGTACCAAGAGGCTCAGATAATCATTTTCTTAGTATTTTTTTTTAATCTGTAAATACGAGTATTCACATTACAAAAATGTTCGCTCCTGTAGGAAATTCTGTGATTTTTTACATGTGTTTTAAATCCAGATAGAAATAAAAGGAGTCTTTGGAATAGTTTTGCAAAATGAAGCACACCAAAATAATTTGCTTAGGCTGCTTTGATGGTTTTAATATGTTTTAATTTGTTGTCGCTGTTTCAGCTTTTATGGGAGATTTCATTATGTCACATAATTGCATGAAATTCTGGCTGATAAGATGAAATGTTTCCTCAGTTTTCTATGAAAAGAATCAAAGCAAGTGGTGCATTTCCATAAAATACCTATGTTTTGTTGAATCAGCGTTTTCCAAGAGCCAGGAAGTATTTGGGAAAATTTTCAGACAATTCCAATAGATACCTTATAATCAATAAAGATAAGATTTTTTTTAATGACTGAGAATCCATCTGCCAGGATGAGAGAATGTCACATTTAACACATTAAGATTTACGAAGATCTTTTTTTTTTTTTTTTTTCCAAAGAGGTTCAGTGTAGTTTGAGGCCAAGAAAGTCCCACACCCTTAACACTATAATTGCAAAAGAATTTAGCTGGGATATTTTTTCTCCTTCAGTTGTGTCCTTTGTGAAGAAAAATATCGATACTATTTGGATCTCACAACTTCTAAAAATCCCATTTTCCCATTTTGGTGGTATTTCTAATTTTCTGATGTGTGTTGGCAACATTTCAACTGTTCTCAAAGTGATTTTTTTAAAATTATGAACAGCTTTACTGTTTTCTGCTGCTTGTTAGTGTTCTGTTCTGTTTATTTTTCGTTTTATTTTGAAGTGTGGTACTAGGAAAATAATGAAGTTGAAAACAGACTAATAAATAATAGCCACACTGAAGAAGACAATTATCCTGAGGATTTTAGAAATCTGGTTAAAACATGTATATGAATGAGTAGATATTACTATTAAAATGAAATAATTTACTCATCTGAAAGCAGTTCAGTAATTGTATATGTGCAAGCGTGCATATTCCTATTAGAAAGGAACAGTCAGAGCTAACAGCCCACTACTCATTCTTTTGAAATTCAAATGAATAATCATCTTTCCATTATCTAGGTCAATAGAAGGCTGGGCTACCCCTGAAAGTGGGAGAAAACAGGTAAAACAGGATACACTAGAGAGCTTAATGCCTGCCTTGTTGGATGGAGGCTGTGTTACAGATCTGTGTCTACGCTGGGCTCCCTAGAGCACCAGTTTGGGGAGAACTTGTTATCCCTAGTGCAGTGCAGCGTGACTATATAATGCCAGTAAGTCTAGAGGTTGGCTGGATGCCTCCGAAGGCTTAAAGCTAGCCAGCAAAAAACACTTCACACAGGAATATGGGCTGTTACAGTGTGGCCCTGTGTACTTACATCTGCCCTCATCAGTGCTCAGGAAAGTGAAGTGATCCATGTTTTTAAGATACAAGTGACTGGTTTGGTGCTGCTCTTTCAAGATTTTGACTATTAAAACAAGAATTAAATATGACCCAAAAAAATCTTTCTATTGCTGAAGAAACGGTATTGTAGTGAAGCAGAAGACATCGCTCTCTGTATAATGTCTTCTCTCTGTATAGCAAGCTCTCCTGATCTCCTGCCGCAGCCTCTGCTTTTCATGGCATTCTTGCCAAATAAATGCACTGATTGGAAAATTATGTGTGAGGTTAAAGGTAAGGCTTAGACGTAAGTAAACTGAAAGCGAAGATTTTTACTCTTCTAAGTACGAAGACAAGCCCAGAGTTCCTTCTGTTTTCTATGTCATGCCTGTTTTGAATTTTCATTGTGCTACAGATTTTTGTCTGGAGAACACAAAGTGGCTTTGCCTGAAGAACATGTGAAAAAATGGAGTTACCTTCTGAAAGGTGTGGGGAGTAGTTTGAATCACAAACTGTAGTTTCAAAATGAAGGGGAAAAGTTAGAATTACAATATCAAGAAAGTTTTGTCTTAACAGGAAACGTATGCTGCGTTCTGGGTAGAGGGAGTTAAACCCAAGATTAGATCACAAACGCATGTCTTGTGGATCTTTTTTGGAATAAACGTAAGTGCCTTGAGATGCTCGAGTCTTGTATTCATGAGGAAAAAATAATCTATGGTCTTACCTCATGTTAGCAAACACAAGATAAAATAGTGAAAAAGACATACCAGCTGTGCTTTTTATGAGCTAGTGAATATTACCTTCCTTAGAGTTTTTTTCTCTTAAGCTGCAAATTCACATGAAAAATTAAACTTCCTTGTCATCACTAGAAAGGTAGTATCCTTTCCTGTCTTTTCAGGTACCGTATGCTAGCTATCACAAGCTCTTCGAGTTGAGGTTGCATAAGACTGTGGCTTCAAAAGGCTTTGTCTTGAAAGTAAAAGCCACCCAGAACTTGACAACAAGTGACTTTCAGAGTGAGAGGTGGAGTGCACTGATTTAACTGAAATAGAATGATCGCTTGAGAGGATAAACTAGTTTGGGAAATTCCAGAGAAACTCCATTTGCATCAAATCTGAAACTAAAATATAGACAAAGGTACCTAAATGTACTTAATCTTGATTTCATGAGCCAAAATCTTTATTTTGCCAAGAGTACCTGCATCAGAATTATGATGAGGATTGTGCTGGGGGTGACCCAGGCTTTCCGGACGCTGCAGCCCTCTGCTGTGGGGCAGGGTTGCTGTAGGTGTCCAGCTGGAGCCTGGAGAAGCCATCAGTGTTTGCATGAGCAGCTCCTCCTAGCTCACCTCCTTCTAGACCGGGGCATTCAACTTACTCATCAGCCTG